GTTTTCAAGGTTTCGCAAACTGTCAAAGCCATTGAATTTTATGAAAGTTAGATCAATGCTGTGGGTATTGGATTTTTCACTATAAAGAGGATGAATCTCTTTGTAAAAGTATAAGGCTCTTTGAAATTTGGGATAAAATGTTTTTCCTTTCAACAATTTGAATATCAACTCTGTTTTTCCAGAACCCGAGGGGCCCACGATGGCTAAAAAAAGTCTCGTAGATGTATCAATAACTTTATTCATATTCTTGGATTTGGTAATACATAACCAACTAAACCCGATAAAATTGAAAACCAAACTGAGGTTTCTTCACAAGTTAACTGCGTTAATGAAAGTTTAAAAATACAAAAAGCCAATAAAATCAGAATTAACACCATTTGTGACATGAAAACTACTTCAGACCGTGGTACATTCACGTTATTGCAAAATTTCCATGATTTTTTCTCCATATGATTTTCGTCATACACAAAATCGGTAACTATAGTTCCATCAGTCTCGTCAACTACTGTGTCATTCATTTCAATTTCCCTACCGCTTTCCCTCACTCTCGAACTTGCAGAATGAAAAATATATATCATATATAAAAAAAATTAATTAAGCATCTGAACAGTAATAAATTTCATATCGTGTATAACCTGTATAGACACTCGGTTTATTATCATCATCAAAATCATAGTGCATTTCCAAAACATAATTGGCTGGGACATGATCAGTTTTGGCATGATACACAATTTTCTTCACAGAATCTTCTCTTATTATTTTTTGAATCTCATTGGGTAGTTCACTGCCGGTTAGATCCATTTGAACTCCTGGTTGACGTTTGGGCACTAAGACTAGCTTGGGAAGACAAAGACCGCGCTTGCTGGGTAACATTACTGATGTATTTGAATCGTTGAAAATAGATGAATTGATCAATCACGAAGAAGAACCTCCTCAAAGTGCACAACTCTTCTACAGAAAGTATAACTTATTCTTTTCGTTGAACTACTTGGCCTCTACAATCAATGCATTCAATCATGATCAATAAAATCTTTATATTACTTTCTGGTGTCATCCAAGCACAAAGAACTGAATTTAGAGATATATATGTCTCCACTTTCCCCTGACGCTCAATGTTGACACTCATTTTTCAACCAATCAAAGAACACTTTCAACTTTATTAATGCACAATAATATTTAGAATTAGTTACAATTCACAAAATTCTTGAAATATAATTGTTCAACTCAAGGACAGCCCAAATCGTCAAGATTCACAACTTTACGGTCTAAGTATTTAGATAAAAAATCAACATTTTCTTTTCCTTTAGCGTAGAATACAGCAATGGGATTTCTTAAAACAAAACTTTGAATGATTTGATTCAAATTCAGGTATAAATAATCACCGCTATCCCAATGAAATCCATGCAAATAATTTATCAACCAATTATAAGCTTTTTATTCAGATTTTAAAAGAGAATTGAAATTAACTGGAGGTAGAAAAACTAGGGAATCACTGTAGTCGGAAGTTGTTATAGCTAATTCTTTTACTATAAATGTGTTTTTCTGGTGTCGAAATCCCTCAAAATCCACCACAACTGATTTTTCCTTCAGCATTCTAATAAATGGTAGAGTTTCGGTTTTTTCAGTTTGATATACAAACAAAACGTAATTCCACTCAAGTGACCAATCAAACTACTGTTGCATTTCCATGGTAAAACATAGCAGTATGTGGGACCAGTGTTATAAACTTCGCGGACAAAACCGGCGGCATCGTGTAAAATAGCATGCATTCGTAAAATTTTCGAATCATTTAAATATTTATCCAAAGAAGAATTGTCTATACCGATCAGACCCCCATAGGGTCTCAACTTGATAGCAACATCGTAATTTATATCATTAGTAGTTGAGAAGAAGAACAGTGAACATGCAGCTAGGAAATAATTTCGACGGTTGGTGTTTTCCGGATAGGTTTTTTTCAAAGTAATAAAAATTTCATGAATAATTTCCAAGTCTTTTGAAGTAACTCTACGTTTTTCCAATTTCATTTTTTTAAAAATTTTTCCAGCACTTCTCCGACCTGCTGAATTTCAAGCCAGTGGAAATGAAAGTAACCTTCTAGATACCACTTACTCACTCCTATTTCTAACTAATGATTTCAACCTATTTTCATGTGTTTAGATGGATATTCCCCTTGGTGGTCTCCACGAGTCACCCATTGATTTGCCTTATGTGGGACCTGGAACTCACGAAGGCAAAAATATCTTTGGTGTGACCGTAGAGTTTACCCCGGCCACCACTGCAGCGAATTTTAAGCTGCATTACATTGAGGTTGCATTTGAGAAAAAGGAGGGCATATTTGAATATGTGTGTGTTGATGTGGGGAGCATGGAAAATTTCTGGCTGTGCGAGTCTCTGGGTGCGGGATTCGAGAGTACTGAGTGGCGCTTCAAATTTCAAATGGAGCGTCTAGTCAGTATTCTTCATGTCCCTTGGTCGGATCCCGAAGACATGCGGATGTGGCCGTAAACCCTTCCTCTGCTCTCCTATCCGTACTCTTGTTAACATTCCGTTTTTACTTTATTTTTTATTTTTTATATGTTACTTTATCTATTATTTATCAAGTCCTCTTTACCTTCTTACCCTCTTATTATTTGTCACGTCCTTCCTCCTTCTCAAGCAGGTCAGTTTTTTAATGGGGTCTCAAACTTATTTAGTTGAACAGTGGGAAAGTTTAGAAGGGATTAAATTTAACCACCGCGCGAAAATAAATACCAAAGTATTTTGTCTGTCGGGTGTCCTTAGAGAGGGGTCTTTTTATTTCGGGCAGGGTACTTTGGGGTCTTTAAAAAAGATGGGTCCTTTTGGACCCTACTTTTGTTAGGACCCCAAAGACCCCTACCGTCGAAAAGACCCCCCCCCCCCTAAGGACACACGGCGGATTACAATACTACTAACTTGACAAAAAGAGAAACTAACCCGACACAAAAAATAGAAACTGATTCGACACAAAAATTCAGTGTGCAAATAAGTTGAGATCAAGGTGGGGCTAAAACTGGTCATCATTTTCGTCCCAAGAGTGGACGTTATATCTACGCCGCATTCGCACAAATGAGTGTTCCAGCTTGAGCAGAATATTCATTAGTTCTGATGTTCATTCAAAAAAAATTAAATTTAACTTGCCCTCAAAACAGTTTTGAAACTCCTCCTAAAAATTTGGAAAGAACTGATAGCTCTACAAAGAGATAAAAATTGAGCTCATTAACGCTTCTAAGCTATTTTCTGAATTTAACTCTGGAAAATCATTAAACTGACTAGAAACCGATTCTCTAGACATAAATTTCAGTAGAAAATGATTACGAAATATTAACTGAATTATTTTGGAAAAAAGAAAAACTCAATTTCATAAGAACAGTCGAGAAACGTATCCACCAGTAACGAAAATTTTTTTGCAGTTTTTACCGCTAAAGAGAAACACAAAATATATGCAAGTCAGGGTTATTTAAATTACACACTACAGGAGTTAATCAACAACACTTGCAACTACAATAGAAATTGTCTACAACACAAAAAAAATCGAGATGTAGCAAGTAAGCAAACAAAACAAGCAGTAGTCCAAAAATTCAAGTTTTGCCGGTAATTAAGGTCCACCAGAGCTCGTCGAACCCCAGACGTTAGCGTGAAAAGGCACCGGCGTTACCTTAAGACCAAGTGTAAAGGAGCCTGACTTTTAAAGAACAAAAATGAAGCAAGTTCAACTTGCGATACATTAAAAACAAGGCAAATACAAGATAGTATATAGAACAAGATACAAGTCAAAAATTTTTATTAAAAGAAGTCAACAAAAACTTCAATTTTATCAAAAAAAAAGATATTTCATTTAGGCATCCTGAGAAAAAAATTGGAAGCCTTCAACAAGTAGCAGGTAAGCCGACACAACGTGGATTGACTCCCGTTAAGCCGAAAACAGACCTGTACTCATAAAAATTTGAGCCATACAGATCTGAAACTAAGTTTTTACGACCCATCCATCTTGAAACGCACGAAAGCATAAGAAACCAATTTTCCTCCTAAGTACGAAAAAAGAGATGACTTCACCGATAGAACACAAACCGTTCACCGATATAACATAAAACGAAACAATTTAATTTGAAAAATCAAAATCAGAATTGATAAATATACAAATTACACAAATTTCCGTGATCATAAGAACCCGATATAATCAAAGCCAATGAAAACCCGTACCGCATAACATAAATGCATTTGAAAAAAAAACGGAATTTGAGCCGACAAACTTAAAACAAAAACATCTAACCCGAAAAAAAACATGATTTTTCTTTACATTATTTCAAAAAATAAATTAATACCTAAAAAGGAATAGGTAGTTAAAACTTCATGAAATTGAGCATGATAGCACATGAAAATAATTGTGAGTAATTCTTAATTTCGTACAGGATTTGTAATAAAATCGTTTACGGGAAAAAGTCTAGTTCCCAATTACAATACACTTGCTCTTGCAAATGTAATATAAACTTAAGATTTTCATGAATTTTCTTGACCGTTTTCTTCATTAATTAAATTCGAAATTTAATCGAAGTTAATTTAACTTTATTATTCTGATGGAAGGAAATTGTGCCAAAAATATTCAAATTTGATAAAGCTTTCTAATAAGCAAGTGTAAAACTACAAAAGATGTCTCGAATGAAAATAAAACTTAAAAAGTAAACAGCGGAGACCACGAGATCCAAAATACAGTCCTCCAGCTGAATAGACTCTCGCTCTCAGAACTATATTAGTTACCTGACAACAAACACACGACACAATGTTGTGGGTAATAACTACAGAGGTAATGCATCCGCATGTAATTAAATACAGAGGCAAATGAATGCGCATTCAAAACACTAATTCAGTAAATTACGATTATCAAGGGCGTTAAAATGATACCTCGTTTTGCTCTACGGGCTTTTTGTGTAGCCAAAAAGTAAGAAAAAATACTATTGGGCAATATCCAAATACAGCTTTACCTCCTAGACTCGAATTCAAGTGTTTCACAATTTTGTTCGACAGTCGATCAAGATCTTGATTCGAAAGCACTGCATGCGATGGAAAATGATCCAAAACGTTCGAAATTTGCCTGACTACACATTTCAGAGACTCAATTGAATCATTCAAAAAATTTCTTGTTGATGCTTGCTCTTCAATTATTTGCTTACGTATCATGTCAAAATTGGAATCAAACAACTCTTTGCGTTTTTGTCTCGCAATTTCAAATTGTTCTTTCAAGAATATGAACAAATTTTGTTCTAAAAATCTATTCTCATTTTTTAGAAGAGGTCCTAACTCGGAGTTTATTCTTTTTGGAATTTCATGAAAAAACTTCGCGCTGGATTCTTCGCCAGAACATTTCAATTCGGCCATTTCAATTTTCAAACATTCAAGCAAATTGTCGCATTTTTGTTTCATCATCTCGCTAATCTTTTCCACATTTTTACCATCATGGCTTTCATGTTCTTCGATCGATTTTTCAATGTTTGATTCCGACACTGAACCATGAGTCATTTGCGAGCTTGCTGCTTTGTCGAGTGTGACTTTATCAATGTTTTCTGAACAATCGTCGTTGAATTTATCAATAGATTTTTGAATGCAAATAGCGACTGGTGATAGCTGACCGTTTTCAGGATCATTAGGAGATGATACAACGAAGTTTCCCAGCTGCTGGTCAACGAAACCTGCAAGCTTATCATGACCCTTTAGTAACTTGTTAGCGTTGGCTAAAAATTCATCAAACTCAGATAAACCTGCAGTTATATCATCGTTGTTAAAGCTAAGCGTTGTTGCCTTCACTTTTTGAGCCGAGACGTTCAGTTTGGTTACGGGAGCAACTTCTTCTTTTCGATTTTCACTAGAGTTCTTGCCTTTAATTGATTCCGCAAAAGATAAATTCAAAATCTCGTCAATGAATTTTGACTCGCTCTTGGTAGCAGGGACGTCAGGCATAATCAATGAAGAAGATTCAGTAATTGCATTCATTGATAGATCAAAAACTTGATCCGAGCATTTTGGAACTTGTAAATAGTCATTGTTATTTAAATCTGGATTCTCCAAGCTATTGCAGACTACATTACATTCAGTCATTAGAGCAGCAGGCTGGTTGCCTTTCGAACCATCGAAGTAGGAACTTGAATCGATTGGCGTGAACTCTTTTCGCTCGACAACGCAAGGTTCCGCTGATGCCAGCATTACAACTTCACGAATTGTATTTGGTTCCTCCTTGTTAACTTCTGGATTCTCAATTTGGGACGCTTCTGCAGGCAGATCTAAGGAACCAATTTCACAACTTTCAAAATCATAATGGGCAAAATTAACCGGTTCACCGGGATCATTTTGGAATCGATGTTTAATCGACACCAGTAAATTAATAACCGGAATTCCGGATCCAAGAATCTGGATTTGAAGCGCAGTCCGCCATTGCTCCTCGTTACTTAAACATTCAAATTCGTTGCTTTCAGAACTCTGGATGTAAATTCTCGCTTTGAATTGGTCTTGAACGTTGAACTTTCGTCGGACGATAGTTTCGATCGAACTTAAGCTTGGAAGCAAATCGAACCTGTGGGGATAAGGCATCTTAAGGACATACGTATTGATTTGTATGCTTCTGTCATCTTCTCCTTTAGCAGCTGCTGCTTTGCTTCGCTGGTACTTCAAGATACAGAACTTCACGAATCGACAGTTTGTTTCCATAACTTCACAAGATTACAAAACCAATCTAAAGACTTGCTAAATTTTCAGTCATTGTAAATTCACCATCGAGATCAAAATTAAGTAAAAAAAATTAGTCTAACGCTGATTGATATTCGAATCATATACAATTTCATTACATGTTTCAAAGATCTTAACGCGAATTGAATTCCTGATATCCCAATTGACTTTTCATTTCTCAAACAGTCATATTTTTCTCAACAAAGTCACCGCTTCAATACCACGTTTGATAACAACGCCTCAAACTAATCAATCCAGATCATGAATTACAACTACTCGAGAAGCGTTGGACAATCTTACGGTGGTAGTCAAATGAACAGCAGCGCGGGAAACAGTGGATCTGCCTATATGCAGTCTCCGAGAAGTGTTAATCGAAGCACCGGATTTGTTTCTAGTGGCGGCGGTCGAAACTCACAGTCGGTATCTCGAGATATGTCTGAATCACCGTACTCCAAAGACTCTCGTTTCTCTTTCCGAGAAATTCCCGGTTCTTCAGTACGACAAACGAGTCCACAGCGAGGCAGTTCCAACCTTCAAAGTCGATCTGGATCTCGGTTTACAGATCCTCGAATCAAGTCGTCCATTACAATGCGCAAAACTTCAGGTTCCCGCGGGTTCTCTGGTGGTCAGAATTCGATGGCAAATAAGAGTTTCAATAATCAAAGCTTCAATAGTTTTAGCAACAACAGCATGCAACCTCAAGGTTATTCTCAAAACAGCAGGATGTTTGGACCTAGTTTTGTAAACATGAGTCAAGGTCAAAGCTACGGAAACCCGCAAGGATTTTATCGAATGAACGAAAACGGGGACATGCAAGGTGGGGGGAACTATCAAGACAGCGGTATGTGCTCAATGATTTGTTCAACAAGGGCAGACAAACCGCAACTTGATTCATTTATGGATGCTATTGAAAGTACAGTGATTGATCTCGAACATCAATATGTTGACGTTTTAGAGCAATACGGCGTACCCGCCGAAAAACTTGACTTAACTTTTGTCAACCGAGGGAAAAAATATTGCGAGAAATGCAAGAAACAGAACCATCCTGAGAGTTTGAATAAAGACGCAGGATGTATGATAGCTTCATTTGAAAATATGCAGGGCGAGATTGATAAAATGTCCAGACACTTACAAAACGTCTCCTTTGATATGATAGCCAAAGAATGTACTTCGCGATGCTGCTAAACTTAGTTAGCAATTCATTTTTCAATACTTAGTTCTCAATTAGATTTCTGAGAGATAAGCCAGTAAGGAAAACAAAGTGATGTCAAAAAAATATCAAATTTTTTTGTTTGAAAAATCCAATCCCACAATTCAGTTACAGAAATTTGTTAGCAAACTCATTTGATATATCTAAAATTGGCAAAATATTAAGCCAGTAAAAACTTAGAGATACCACAAAAACTGAAATTTTTTGGTTTGAAAAATCGAATCCCGCAATTTAGTTACAGAACTTTCAGCAAACTCACTTGATATATCCTAAATTGCCTAACCATAAAAGCAATAATTAGTTCATAGTCATCCCTTATCATAGACATCCCAGGTTCTTGCTAGACGGTATATTTAGATATTCTAGATAGGGGCGTATTTAGAAGTGAGACTCCCCCTCTCATAGATTCGACCTTCTCACTACTTAAAGGGAAGGGTCCCCTTTGGCACTATTTTAGGGCATCCACTTTCGGCCCACCGACCATGAAATTGTTCTAAGGGCTCTTTTGGAGCGAATAACTATTTTTGAGGGGAAAGCACAAAAACGCAAATTTTGGTCACAACCTTCCAAAAAACCTGAAACCGTCTCTTTAGGCCTCTTTTTTTTCAGATAAATAGGTAAATTTACAAAAACACATGAGAGAAAAACTATCGAAATCAGAGAAAAATCATTTCGTTCACTAACACTCAAACAAATCATTTCTGACCGTTTTTCACCTTGCCAGTTTCAAAAATTACTTCGCCATAAAGTTTTTTGGATTTCCAGAATTTGGCGCCTGCTTCTAGGATTTATACTTTTCCAACATAACAACGGCAATTCAAGAAAACTATCAATAGATCATTTTTAATTCCTCAAATGAATTCTCAAAAAAATCAGCGTCCAAACGAATTCCATTTTCATTCAATTTTCTTTTTTTTTCACTACCAAGCGTCTTGAATCTTTCAATTAAAAAAAAGAAGCTTGCGATTGAAAGCAAAAGTCAAACCTCGGAAACATATTTTTGAGCGTGTACAAACGGCAAATTTTACTAAAAACTCCCACGATCTAGTAAGTTCATATTCACATCTTTTTTAACGCTTAGAAAACGGAACAAGACACAGTTGTTTAAAGAGGTGTCAACAGAGAGATCCCAAATTTGAAACTTGAGCGCCATTTTTAGCACAATTTTTTTTTGCACTCCGATAGCATAAAAAACATAGCCAATCGAAGATTAGCAAAGAGTAATGAACAGAACTAAACATACGAAAACACTGACTTTCTTGAACAAATCTCAACTTTTGAGTTTCAAAGAAAAAAATAAATATGCCCTTTAAGCTCTTTGAATTTCTAGAACGATTTACGACTGGCGCTTTTTTGATAACATGAACCCAACTAAAGAAAACTCGATCAATAGGTAAAGTTTTTATTCCGCTGGAAATCTATAAATTAAATTCCAGTTTCAAAACTAGAAACCGTTCACGAATTTTCGCGCCATTTGCACGTTTGTTTTTGGAGAATGCTTTTTACGTCACTTTCAGCAGATGAATTTCAATTGAACTCAAAAAGTGCATATATAAGTAAGTACATCAATTTTTTAAGACTTTTCCTAAAAACTTTTTAAAAATCAGCAAGAACTATATAAGAGTCTTCACTACGTGCATTACTCTTAATTAGCCTTCCATTTAGCAATCGAAATAAAATGAACATAATACGCAATAAACACAGACGCTAAATTGCACTTCGTGAAAAAAAAATCAAAAAACTGCAAATACGATGTAAAGGCGCAGCAAAATTCAGAAAATTAATATATAAGCTTTGAAATAATTAGCCAACTACGAGATTTGAACCACGTACTTCGTGGTTTTGCTACACGCGTTTTCGGGACAGCAATATGCCTAATGTACACAACGAATAATAGTAAATACCGGTCAGCAATGAACGCGCTTTAATTAAGGGGATAAAACACATACTTTCGAATTAGAGGAGTATATAGATATACTGAAATTGAACACAAAAAGAACAAACATAGCCAACAGACAGTTAGAAGATTGTAAATGAACAAGGAAACCAAAAAATGACAAACTTATAAACTTTTTTTCATCATTTTTCAACTTTTGAACTTTGAAATTGAAGTTCTTTGAATTTCAAATACTGTTCATGATTGGCCCTTTTTCTCTTCAAGTTATCCCATTTAGAGAAAACTAGGTCAATAAATGTTTTTTCATTTGGCTGGAAATTCAGAAAACTGAAGACCATTTTGGAAAGAAAGTAGAAGCCATTCACATTTTTCGGGACCTTTTCACTTTTGCTGTTTAATAGTGGAACTCGTCTTCGCTTAACAAAGGAACTAAAGTGACCTTAAAAAGAAATCATGAGTCATATCAAGAAAAATCAAAATTGACCGCAATTAATTTTTTTTCTTAAAAAACAACAAAACATGAATGAAAAACAGCCAGCAGGCAGTTAGAAAAGAGTCATGAACACCAGGAAATAAAAAAAAGAATGGCCTAAATTTTAATAAAAAACGTCTATTTTCGAATTTCAAAGAAAAACTATCCTTAGAGCTCTATGAAATTCAACTTTGAAATTAAATTAAAACAATTCATGATTGAATTTTTTTTAAATAAAACTAGTTTAATTTTAAAAAAAATTGGATCAAAAAAATTTTTCAATCCGCTGGAAACTCTGAAAAAAAAATCAAATTTCACTTTCGAAACTAGAATTCGTTCACGTTTATTCGTGCCATTTCCACATTCGAATTTGGAGAGTGCACTTTATTTAGATTTTAGCCGATGACTTCAAAATTGAACTCAAAAAGTGCATGTATGCAGAAGTGCATTCATACATTCATTAATGAGCTTCTGTAAAACATTCAAGCATTAGAGAACTTTTCCAGAAAACATCAAAAAAATAATCAAGCTTTATGTAAGAGTCTGAACTACGTTCATCGACTCTTAATCACTTCGTTTTTTATACTTAAAAATTCTTGTGACCTAGGTCGGAAAAGTGAACTCGTATTAAATTTTAGTCTTTTTTTAGAAAATACGCATGCTCTAAATAAATGAAAATTCACTTCGCTCAATAACATCAAAAAACTTGCACATTCCCAGCGTACTTCAATTTCCATCTTCTGGAACATCTAAATTTTATGGCAACAGTGGTAACTCTAAAAGCTATCAGAAAGATTTTCATATGCCTGAGTGGATTTGTGTCTTTTTTCTCATTGACAAATTTCTCTATCGTGGTCTCATGAATGCAGCGCAAGATTGTCCTCCATTTGACATGAGAGAGAGGCGTAGAATATATTCGAAATATATTCTCTTTCCATGCGATTACATAATTTATTTTCATTAAGATAACATTGCGGAAACATACATTTTCATCTCTAACTGTATTTACAGATATTATCTGACATTTCTGTCTGCTAAATTGATTGTATTCCAATAAATTAAAGTTTTAAAACTATGAAAATAATTAGAGTAGACAGCACCGATACATCAGCTTTTCGTCAAACTATAACAAAAAAATTCTTGAGATCAAGCTAGCTAACTATATTATCATCAATACCTTCAACAGTAGATAGTGATAATGGCCAATGATCTTTGTTTTTTCTTGCACGACCTGCAAAAAGGGTGTTCTCCGAACATTTTCAGTTAGCTGTACTTGGAGCCGAGACAATTCTGGGATACAAGATCAAATTTAATTTTAACTAGCGCAAGAGTAAAATAGGAAAAACAGTTTGAGACTATTCTGTTTTCATGATCTTGGGTGCTTGAAATAGTTGAGTGGATACATTTCTTGTTCTCTTTAATTCTCTGGTAAGTCTTTCTACTTTTTTCGTCACTTCTAGTAGGCTTTGGCTGTCTGGGCTGATCCGGCACTGGATTTGTCAGACATTCGATCCATGTATTCCCTGAAACAACAGTTTAGTAGAAAACAAATCTATTTGGAATAAAGTTATTAGAGATTAGAGAAAATCCACTCAGGAACTCATTTTAGATTACTTCATGTCATTCTGGGATGCCATTTAAAGCTTATCAAAGCAATTTTGAGAATAATGAAAATTGCAGAAGTTAAAATTCAGTAGTAAATTTGATATCGTTGTGCTGACCAATTGTCGACCATGATCTTCTGGGTGGCTAGAAGTGCATTGTATTTCACGGCAGAGTCCTGGTGTTGCATCAACATCATCACCTTCGTTTTACAGTCCAACGTCTCCAGCACCCTAAAAAAAACATTTCTCAAACAATTTGATTGAAAAAACGCTGAGCTCTCATCGCATGTTCTGTAAAGAGACAAATTACTGCATGTCGGCATTTATTGTCGTCTGCATCTCATTTTGAAAAAAAAACGGGGCATTAAAACAATTAGTTTCAGTTCAATGTAAAGCGCATCATATTCCATCCTAAAAGCAGTTCAAGAAACCTTACTTTCTGCCTCTTGGGAAGTAGCGCACATACTCCCCGATATCATGCGCAGCAACTGACAGCACCAGTGGGTCATTCTGCAAATCCAACAAACTGGTCAGAATCCTCAGCAGCTCATAGTTATTCTCGTTCAGCCTCGGTGCATTCTCTCGCCAAAACTTGTCACTCTTGTGCACTGGACTCCATTCCAGTCGGTTGGATCTGACCTCCTGCGCGTACTCATCGAAACTGCTGATCTGAAGCATGCTCTCTTCAAGTTTCTTAGTGATCACTTTGACGTCCTCTGCCAGTTCGGGGTCATCGAAGTCTTTGTTGCTGAGAAGGTCGATCGATTTGGGCACTTTGCACTGGATCATGGAGAGAACAAATTGGGCCACTACGTCTTTGTCTTGGGGCACTTCGATCAAATTCTGAAAAATGATTACGTGAATCAGAACTTCAGAAAATCTAAAGCCGCGAAACTTGAGTTGCCTTGTACATGAATAGCAATGATTTCAAGTTAACTTAATAGCTAGACTAGCCAAACAAACTAAAAACACTCATAAACAAAGATAACTGGTTGCTGAAAAAGTAGCACAGAATGTTACCACCATACTCTATTCTTAAAAAATACATATAAAAGCTTTTCCATGAGTTTTTTCAAATAAATGTTTTTTGTGTCGTGTGATAAAAAAGATCTGACGAAAACCTAGAAATTAGGCATACTCAACAGTCGAAGTAAAATTGGGCAAAGGTTTTATTCAAAAAAAATATAGCCAATCGAAGATTGGAAAAGAGTAATGAACGCAAGTAAACATAAAAAAAAAACACTGACTTTCTTGAAAAAAATCTCAACTTTCGAATTTCACAGAAAAAAATAGACGCCCTGGAAGCTCTTTAAATTTCTAGAACAATTTACGACTGGCGCTTTTTTGATAACATGAACCCAACTAAAGAAAACTGGATCAATAGGCAAAGTTTTTATTCCTCTGGGAAATCTTAAAAATAAATTCCACTTTCGAAACTAGAAATCGTTCACGTTTTTTTTTCGCGCCATTTCCACATTCGTAATTGGAGAGTGCTATTTACGTCATTTTCAGCAGATGAATTTCAATTGAACTCAAAAAGTGCATATATAAGTAAGTACATCAATTTTTTAAGACTTTTCCTAAAAACTTTTTAAAAATCAGCAAGAACTATATAAGAGTCTTCACTACGTTCATTACTCTTAATTAGCCTTCCATTTAGCAATCGAATTAAAATGAACATAATACGCAATAAACACAGACGCTAAATTGCACTTCGTGAAAAAAAAATCAAAAAACTGCAAATACGGTGTAAAGGCGCAGCAAAATTCAGAAAATTAATATATAAGCTTTGAAATAATTAGCCAACTACGAGATTTGAACCACGTACTTCGTGGTTTTGCTACACGCGTCCTCGGGACAGCAATATGCCTAATGTACACAACGAATAATAGTAAATACCGGTCAGCAATGAACGCGCTTTAATTAAGGGGATAAAACACATACTTTCGAATTAGAGGAGTATATAGATATACTGAAATTGAACACAAAAAGAACAAACATAGCCAACAGACAGTTAGAAGATTGTAAATGAACAAGGAAACCAAAAAAATGACAAACTTATAAACTCTCGAATCAGGAATGAAAGGGCTTTAATATGATATATCACTCCACCCATTACGATGATTATTTGTGGTTCCTGATTTTTCGTGCAAAACAAAAAAAAAAGAAAACTAAAACACACCCGAGAACAAAGTTCCTCCCTATTTTCAATAGTCGGAACAATTAAATGTCTCTAGGTGTAAAACCTAACGCCATAATTCACAGTAGGCACCATTTGCGATATCGCTCAGACATAACATTGGAATATAGCAGACAAAAATAAAACCATACTTTTAAATTCGAGAAAAAATATTTAAAATCAGGGATAGTTAATCAAATACACTTGCAACTACCATGAAAACTGCTTACAGTATAAAAAAGTGTGACTTGGAAGCTAAGACGAAACATAATCAGACTAACGATAGGCCAACAAAATTTTTGACGCGGAATATTTGCAATTTGAAAAAAAATTAAGTCCTGGTCTAGAGAATGATTCAAGCCTGAGACCTTTACCGTTCCAGATAGAGTCGTTATCTCTCGACCAAATGGGATGGAGATGCCAAGAAATTTGATTTTATTGTAAATCAAGCTATCAAAAGATTTTGTTAACTCAACTGTTAATCTGAAAGTTATATTTGATCGAGCGCAATCATCGAACTCACTCTGAAAAATGCGACAGTGATCCTGATAACTTTGTCTTTGATAGCCTCGCTGAGAATGGAACCCAACACGGGTATGGGATTGTACTGTACCAAAGTAGTCTCCACTATATTCTGACTGAACGACAGCAGCCAGAGACAGTTAATGAGCTGGTACTGCAACTGGAATCCGATCTTTTTCCCAAGAGCTCTAATGATTACTCCTACAGCTTCCTTCGTGTTAACCAGTCGCTGTCTATAAGCTTCTACACTTAGTAACTTCATCAGACATCTTGCAACGTTTTGGAGGTATTCGTTCTAAAAAATAACAGTTTCCAAGTATCTTGAAAATCGTAGCGTTATGGAAAATTCAGTAGAAATCGCTTTCGGAATCATCTACGCATTTTTCTTAAGGATATCTTTTCGTAGTCGTGATTTTTAGTGACTGAATAATACTCACGCTTTCAATTATTTGACAAAATCAATTATTGTTTATGTTTAGGTCCCTCTCCAATCTGTTCGCATTATCTTGTCAGAGTACAGACTCTCCTAATACTTTCGAATATTTAGTTAACTACTATTTTTCTGCTATTTTCAAGTAAATTTATTTTTCCGATGCAAGTGGTGATTCGTAAAAAAAGGTTACGCTGGTACACCATACCAAACAAACCGTTAACCTTTCTTGAAATATCATATCTTCAAATCCTTTGAGATTTTTTAATACTGAAAGGATGAACCAGTCAACTCATATCTTGTTATGTTACTTTAAGGCTTGAAATCCTCAGTTGTACAGCCTCTTCGAGACCAGAAAGACTACAACCACAATGGACTTACTCCGTTTGTTCCAAGTTGCGTAATAAACCATGTGAAATAATAATCCAGATCCTGTTCCTCCATCTGGTCTACTGCGTTAACACAGATCGTAGCCAAAATTCTAGCCGCCTGATGAGCAATAAAGGCATCCGGTCTGAGTAGAAAGGGGAGAAAACAACTCAGACTAGAGCCTCCCTTCTTCGAATGCTGCACGAATAATTCTACCCGCGAGTTGTCTTCCTGCGAAACAAACAATTGTGAGGTGAAGATTAAGAGCAGATTAATAGTAACCGTAAAAGTTCCGAAGACCAGAAGTCCCATTTGCACTATTTAAAATCTCGGCTGGTGCACTTAATGGTAAATTTCTTCGGCAAAATTAAAACTAGAAACACACTATGATACGTTGAGAAAAAGTACAAACACCTATGACCAAAAAACATCAACTTCCATGAATTGTTAATAATTTTCTTTTTGTTCACATTCCCTATTTTACATCGCTACTATTCTACGTAATTGATCCTACAAATGAAAACAAATAGATATTTCAATAACTCCATGACACCTAACCAATGTTTATTCTATGATCTCAATGTTATTCAAACTCAAAAACGCTTTGAACAAACCTCCAGCAGATCATCGACAATTGTCAAAATGTATCGCAGATTCTGATCTTTCGGAATATGGCGAAGCAATGTCAGGATTGATTTCACGCACTAAAACTTCATCTTTTTTCAAATCAAGTTTTTAATATATCCAAGTACGTAAAGACCAGCAGCCAATTTACCTCGGGTCCTTTGGTATCTAATAATTCGCATTTACGGTGTCTAGGCGCCAAATCGAACTGTTGGATAAACTCAAAGTCTTCTTTGCTGATCATTTGACCTCTAAAACAACAGCGTTGATATAAAGCCTGACACTAGCGGTTGGAGCACCTGTTCACAAACAACTTACTGGTAATAGCTCTGCCAATTGATTCGGGATTCTCTTACTTCCACCGCTTCAATTTTCAGCTTGTCCATGGCACCTGGCATGTCTTTGAAAGACTGGGTAGCAAACTCAGTAGCCATTTTTTTCTGCAACCATTTTAAATGATTGGTTTATTGTGCAATACTTGGATTGGCGACAATACACAAGAATGGGATGCCACTCTGATCAGAACTTTGCTTAAAATCGGGGAATTAAACAACTTGCATATCTTACAGGAACATAATTGCGGACAAGCACAGTCCCTATACGTTATTTGCTATAAAGTAGGATCAAAATGAAAGTAAAATTGAAAAAAAAATGGCAAATAAATTTTTCTGGGATTTTTTCTTCGAAAAATATTTGACATGAAAACAGTAAGATATGCCATTACCTAGAATCGATTTCAAGTGAAACAGCTTGAACCTAAAACACACCCAACTAATTGAAACTATAATTATTAGATGCACTTTCAGAACGAAAACATTAAATCGAAACTATGCCTCCTGAAAAACTGAAAATTTCTTCCATAAAAAATACTTGAAAACATGTTGTAACAGACAATTATGGCTCGTTTAAAACCAGGAAACCATTAACTACATTGAAAAACTCGACAAAAATATGTTTGAAAATCTACCAACATGTTAGGGAACTGAAGACCGGGCAAGAGAGCCGACAAAAATTGGGATGAAATCAATAAAGCCGACAAAGTCAAGTTTGTTAACTTTCTTTCAGCTGCAGACTCAGTATTCTTTCGATAGCTCTAGAACGATGCTTAATAAAAAAAATACGACAGGCCATTAAGACGTCAAGGCATGAAGATCACAAGACATTAAACGACAAGACATTAAGACAGAAGCATTATAGAAAGTAAATTTCAAAACTACTCCAGAAATGCAATTTTGAGAATAGCGAGTAGTGTCGTCTTAAGGTCCCATCAAAAGCAGCTGTCGTTTTAACAGTTGTCGTCTTATTAGCCGGACACCATCTAAAACAGCTTTTTTTTTCAAGGTAATCAGAAGGTCAGAAGTATCATAGTAACCGAATTTACAGTCATAGTCCCTTCATCATGTATTCCAGTCAAAATCCTTGGAATTTTTTTAGATATGGAAGTGATAATGATAAGAGAAGATGACACGTGTTTAAGTCCTTTTCAATTGAAATCGATACGGGTTACGTTTCTTCAATAAGAACACGCAACTCGACACGAGATAATATAATATACAAGTGTTACAAGTAAAAAATTTCGTCGAAAGTTATTTTGTCATTTATTGTTCCGAGTACGCAAGCGGCGTTCGCAATCTGTATTGCCAGGGAGATTCTCTGTTTTAAAAAGCTGCCTGCTCTGGGTTCCTCAGTGCATATGCTTAGGTTCTTACAAAGCTTGCTCAAAAAAACTTCTGTGCTGGGGCCAGCCGCGCCCTGAATTTCAAAAGCTAGCGGTTGAAAAAGATATCCATCATTTACAAGATCTTTATACTTGTCAATTTTTCGCACTTCCGCTTCAGCGGCAGCCGTACCAGGGTTACAAACAAACCCGGCATTAATCCTACAAGGAGCTAAGTAGTCTACTACCGTTACATCCCACAAGAGCTGCTTACCATCAGCCCATGGAACGAGCGTCAAACCGTCTGGTCGCTTCTGATCGGTCCTGTAGAGGTGTCGTGGTTCTAAAATAGACGGAATGTGAGTAGATGATAGACTCTGCTTTATAAGGGCATTCAGGTTTGAATGCCTAGAGAATCTCCCTGCACTTTTGAGGCAAGAAAGACCATGCCAACCATCCTCGGTAACGTCTTTTCCATCCTCGGTAACGTGCCAACCATCCTCGGTAACGTCTTTTATACTACAGCTGTCAACCGTTCAAAACCGAACACATGTCTCAACTGAAAATTTCAACTGAGAAACGGAGTTAAAACTAGTTATTCCCTAAAATTTCCAAAGTTCCTTACTTACAATATTTATTTAATTCTAGAGTTGCGTCACTATGTGAGTACATAATTCAATTTATTGAGTGTATTTTCACAGAGTCATGTTGAGATACAGCGGGTTTTAGGTTGATTCATCTGAAATGGATTAAAGGCCCACTGTGACTGAAGAGATTTTTGCTAAAAAGTAAATTTCAAACGTAATCGCAACTATGTGCATTGTCAGGATTCTTAAAATAAACTAATCTACATGACGATAATACATCAATTTACAAATGCTATTTACAATAATTCACATACATTTTGGTTCTAAACCATTATGTTAAAAAATAAGCCAATCAAAACACAGTTCACTTCTAAATTACTATTGAGATTAAAAAAATTTTATCCTTTAAAATTAATTAAACATTTTTTAATTTATTTGACTGGAAGTTCCTGAGTCATAATTTCGATTTAGACATGTACGTTTTACATAAAGAACCAAAAATATTTTGGGACTAAATTTTCAGTGTTAACTCCTTGCTCCTGAACTCATCGCTCCTGAACTCATCGGTCTTTTTCCTGATATGTTTTGCTTCTTGTAACAACAATTGTAATTTGTTGTTTGACTTATGTATAATTTCTCAACTGAGATCTGCGGTATTTCCCTGAAGGTGGAGGCCTTCTGATGAATCCCTTTTTTATGTTCCTCAATTCTAGAGGTCAAATGTCGAACAGTTAGTCCGACATAGGTGGAAGTGCATCCACTACATGACACTTTATAAACCACTCTTGACTTAGATTCATTAGAAAATTGAATGCTGACTTCAGTGATGGTAAACATGATTCTAGCTTTCTTGTGGTGAAAACCACTTGAACGTTAGTTAAAATTCGTAACCCGTTGGCAAAATATTGGCTTTGGTTACCTCAATATTGCATCATAAGATTTGGGCTCTTCAAATCCGCTGGTGATTGAGTTGACAAACACCTCTCACTATCGAGGGGCTTGCCTTTACCCTCGATGATTTTGCTCGGGGCGTCTGCCGCCACCTTTGCGGACCAATTTTCAAGGTACTGATTTGACAGCCATTGCGCCCTTTCAGTTTCCATAGCCTTATCAAACTGCTTCCTGCTGGATCTACTACTAAAAATTCTGTGCACGGTGCCTTGGATAACACTACGCTCATACTGATTTGGGGCGCAGCTTCTATAGTTCAGTGTAGTCCAGTAGATGTTGGTTTTTGATACCAACTGCAAGTTACAATCCTATCCTGCGATACATTTATGTTCAAATCCAGGAACGGCAAGTTCCCCTCCGAATTAGTTTGTACGTCTAGAGTGAACTGCAGATTTGGAAGAAGAGAATTGTAACATTCGTCTACTGTAGTCACACACGAGGCTTAAGAAAAATAGGCCCTATAACCATTGGCTCAAGAGTCAGGGACACTATCTCTTGTGTTTTTCTACCTCAAGAACGGTCGGAGCCAATTCGGTTCGCTTGCGACATGAGACTGGAACCCGTTACAGCTTAAAGGCCACTACCAAAATACCCCCCACTCTAGAAATAAAAGCGTCCCCATACTTAGGTCTCGAAATACCCAAAATACATGAACGCCGTTAAAAACCGGGTCGGAACAATCCGCTTAGTTACTTTTTATTGGACAGTGGAACTTTGATCCATTTCAGATGGATCAACCTAAAACTCGCCTTATCTCAACATAACTATCATAAAATACACTCGAGAAGTTTAAATTGAGAACTCACATGTCGATGCACTTGAGTATGAGGAGTAATTAAAAGATAAGCAGCTCGAGAATCAAATAATATAACTAAATAAGTTTGATGCTAATTAGTTTTAACCACAGAAGTAAGTTCTGTCTCAAGAATCAAAGTTTCTGCATGAACCATCGGGCACTTGAGTTGTCCTCTCTTCCATTGAATGTTCACTCTGTTCCGTTCGAATAATCGTCCTTTCTCAAGTCTGTGTTCTATTCTCCTGTTTTCGGGGTAAGACAGCTCTACTCTCTTATTATTTCGTATCGAGAAATTGCGAATAGCAATTTCCTGCCTTTTTCTTGAGTAGTTTCCCGCTATTGTTAATTCGGACGTTCTTATTTTTTACTTTTTTGTTTTCAGTTGGTTCGAGAAAACTGAGCATGATAGGCTCCATTCGAAAAATGTAAAATTAAAACTTCACTCCAAAATTACGTGTTTCTCAAGGTCAAACCTCCAGACATGACCGACTGGCACATACTCCCCGGACTCGAGATCGATGTCCCCATCGTGTGTTGTCATCTGCCAGTGAGTCCCAGAGAACCGAGTGTTGCTCAAGATACAGTGCCAGTGGTCATTTACAGAAGTTTGCATCGGACTTAAGTTTATCTACCTTCCAAAATTCACAACCATATAAAATTTTCACACTATCGCTAACCAGCAATCAAAATTTGCATACACCTGCACCCATGAATCCCCGCTTTTTAAGCTGGTAATTTTAAAATTTCTTTTGTCCTATTCAGTCAGGAAATTGTCATGCATCATTCTGATTTATATAATAGATCTATCATATTAATAACAATATCTTATTCGTCTAAAATTTCTTTTTCGTGAACCCAGATTTCATCCGAGTTCACGCTCGAGCCCCCTCCCTCTCAAGACTCAAGACTCTAGAATTTTCCCCTCAAGCCACCGGCTCACCTCGTGTCCTTCGCCCTTGAGGTACCCGACACCGGTGTTCTTGACACTGTAATTTGTTCCAACAGTGCTTCTTCGTCATCGGAGCTGATCACAATTTCCTCCCAGGCCTTCAGCTGTTCATAGGATCGCATCCACTCCCTCTGCTCTTGCAACCTCTTCGATTGATTTGGTAAGCTCTTTACCTTCGACTCCCGGTTCAAACAGAAGGAATTGTGAAGACTCATGCTTGTATTCTTCGCCAGGTCCTCCTCTAGTATTGATTCCCTCGCTCTAGAATTGTCTCTGGATACTCTGCCCACTCTTTTCCACCCCGTCGTGATCGCATTTCGATGGGTTAGCAGGGGTCTCTTGAAGGCATCTGGTCCTATCTCGGCTTGGAATTGTCGATATTCCTTTTGATGTTTCCTCATGTGGTCCTTTGTTACCACATATAACCAGGATGTTAATGTCGCACGAAACCAAGGAAAGAATCTCAGGCGGCTCCATATATGTCTGATCTCCACTG